TGTGGTAGAGGGTTTAAAATCACTTTTTTCATCTGTCTGTTAACTTTTGCCCCTATACACCTGAAGGGTGAAGCTTTACACAAGAAGGATCTCTGCTTTACAAAGGAAAGAAAATCTCTTCTTACTCTTTCTGGAAAAACCTTAAAGGTGGTTGGCAATGAAGTGAAATACAGAATATATTTTGCAAGTTGGGCTGGGTTTTTTTGCTGACCATAGGAGAGGTTTTCATGCACTCCCACTCAACGTATGACAAAAATGTAGACAAAATTGTATGACATTTGTAATGTAGACAAAATCCATCAATCAGCATGTTTTTAAACTGAATTTTCTTTACTACATGATACAGATCCTTGGGAGAATGGTGTATGAGTCAGGAGCATCTATCACACTGCCAGCATCCTGCTGCCACTCCTGTCAATTGGCTGCATCTTGGTTCCTCTGACGGCCCCTCCAGCCACACCCCATGCTCAGCCCCGAGCTTGATGAGCTACCAGCTACCACATCTCTCATTCACTCACTAGACTCTCAAAACCCCCTCTCTGTGCCGCTTCCTACCCTGTCCTACACCCTTGGAAAGGGCCCCTCAGGAGCACCTGCAGCATAATCTATTAGTTACTCATTAATAATCTCCTCTTCTATACCAGCTTGAGAAAGGGGATCTAAAATTACACTGCTGATGGGCTGAGGACATCATTACCATGATGATGCTTCTTCTTGCTTCCCATCTCTCTGTCTGCTCCTCTTTACTACAGGGAGATCATAACTGCTCTGGACAGAAACAGGTTTTTTTTAATCTGAAACTACACATTATTTAGCAAAACAGGTCTAGGCCCTGCAAACAAGGGTGCTGCTGCTGCTCCAGAAAAATAAAAAGTAAACATAATTACAAATTACAGTTGTTCTTTTAATAGGTCGAAAAGACTACTTGAAGGAAGTTCAATGGTGACTGGCTTCTCCCTGGTAGAAAACTTGTGCATAGGGATGCATAGGGATGATTTCAGTGCCCAAGCATAAAATAGCCCAAGCTATTTTATTTTGAAATTAACAATTACCAAATAACAAAAAAATCCACTCACACAAAAAAATTTTATATATATATATATATATACAGAAAGAGAGAGAGAGAGAGAGAGATATGTATATGTATACATTAGGAAAAGTAAACTAGTCTCTGCCCAAACATAACAAATACCTCTCAGTGACAGAGGTTTATAAGGCTACACACAGACAAATAATAAATGAAAGAAAGCATGGAGACCACATCAATTTATCCTAACCCCCTGCCACCAGAAAACAACATATTTATTCAGGTTGCCAGAAAATTTTTCATTCAAGCTGTTTTTCATGTCAAATGTGGGATTCAGCAAAACAACATCTTTCACAGAAAGAACATTTCAGATTTTCATCAAAAGTATTGGTTAACTTTTGATTTTGTTTGGCGGAAAATGGAAGTGGAGGTGTAGAGGGAGGATGGAGGGAAGCAGACTGGGGAGCAAATCTAAGCAAACCTTGGTAGAATGGTCTTACAGTAGTTAATCTTTGGGCAGGCATGGAATAATTCATTATTTCTTCACCAAAGACCTTTTTGCTCTGATATTGGCTTGTTTTCTGGAAGGACAACAGACTTAAGGAGTATCTTTCAGAAAACTGAGATTTGGCTAAACATCACGTACAGCCATCCAGAACAGTAGTTCTCTCTCTCTAGATAAACTCAGTAAAAGCAATCTTTTACTCAGAATATGATGATCCAAAGATTGCAGAGAGAGAAGAAATTATGCTCAAGCTGTTGCAGTTTATGGAGCAGGATTGTCACTCAATCGAAAGGAAAACTCTCAAGAACTGACTGTGAGGATACCACACTACCACTCAAGATCACCTCCCTCTACCAGCAAATGTAAATCCAAAGTACACGGATAAATAGGACCCACAAAAGCACTCCTGTTAATATATTTACAACAGGGTCACACCTTTTTACTTAGCATCAGAAAAAGCTAATTGGAAATGAATGTAACAAAGAATCTGATCTTTCACTTCTTTCACTTTGACAATGTGGTACTTCTGCTAGGCTCAGTGGTGTATCTAACATCAAAGTAACATGCTGATTATGCAGTCCCACCATTTCATTATTAATATTATCTTCTGGCTTCTGTGAAGCTGATCTTCAGTTTTCATATAATACTTCTTTCAAAGTCCAGGCTGGCACAGTTTTGATTTGCAAGGCATTTAGTAAGAAAAAGCATGATGCATGCAACCTGAATAGATACTGCCTAACCCTCTTTGCCAGTTTAGATGCTTCAGTGGGGAGTTGTACCCATATCCATCTTAACTGAACTGCTTATTAACTTTTTTTAAAAATGGTGATAAGCTGATCTTCCCCTTTTAACTTAAAAAAGATATATATATGCCTACACATGACAGGTAAGAAATCCTATAATTGTAAATAAATCATTGTCATAAATTTTGCAATGAGGAGGAGAATCTTTGAAATTTCTCGTAGAAGTGAAAATATAAAATAGCAACTGTTTCCTTGCAATTTCATTTTAGAAAACTGTGAAATTAAATTTACCCTGAAAGTCTTAGCTTTTATGTACCCAACTTCCTATCCTTCACATCTTGGATACCTACCCCTCCCCTGGAAGACTGACAGCTCTCAAGCTGACACCAAGCCAGTAAAACCCAGTGTGTGTGCCAGGGCTCACAGCCCTGCAGGAGCAAGCCTGCCTTCCAGGCAGCCTGTGCACAGCTGTTCCCTGGAGTCTCAGAAATCCACAATCCCTGGCAACAGTCATCCTCCCAGTTCCAGTGAACCAGAATTTCCAGTAACAAATTGTCATATTAGAAATTGCCCAGCCCACTCAAACCCAAAGTGAAAAAGAGTTTTATCACACTGACATTTCTTGTAAAATGCTATTTACATACAAACCAGGAAAAAAACCTAAAATATTGAAAACAACACTTAACTTCCCTGAAGCCACTTCTTCCACATGGGTTCACATTTCATATATTTGTACCCTTACAGAAAACACTATATGAGAAAAAATGCTGAGAAAAGTAACTGGTTTTTTAACACACTCCTATCAAAACATATCTCAGCCTAACTGAACAAATGAAAATTGTGCTACAGAGGTAAACTAATGGGAAACTTTCATGAAAGTACACATAGAAGCTTCAGATCATAATTATAAGGTGACTCCTAAAAGAAACCAAAAAGGTGAAAAATGAAACTGGCTTTCAGAAACTGCAGGTTAGACATACTTTTGCTAATGGAAATTCAGAAAAAAATTAATTTTCTGTAGTATGACTATATGAAATAACCTAATTTTATTTACTTCTTTGAAGAAGCAAGTGTGTCAGTGTGCTAAAACCTCTTAGCTACTTATATGCTCTGATAGTTTTGGGACAGTAAGTCTAAAATTAAAAGAATCATGTGGGCTACGAAATTTCAGTTTTACTTACATCGCTGGAAAGCCTGGAGCCTGTTCTTGTACTTGGTTTTGAAGAAGAAAATCACAGGTCTGTTTAGGAATATTGTAAAACTACTTCAAAAGCCCTCTCCACTGGAAACCAGTGAGGAGAGAAACAAGAAAGGCTCAAATCATCCTGGAATGTTTAGACAGAGCTATGTCTCCCTGTGTGGACCCATTCCTTCGGACATGTGAAAATAATAATCAGGAAAAGTGCTGACCCAGTCCAAGATGGGAGATAATCCCCTTTCCAAGAACACACCCTTGATTATTCCTCAATGGAATTTTTATTCAGATGTAACCCATCCCAAGCACAGAAAAGTAAGACTCCTGAGAGGATGGCTTTTAATCTGTTCTGTAACAACTTCTTATAACAAGGAACAGGTTCAAGTTTAGTCCTCTTTCCCCATTTTCTTTTTGTTAAGACAAAAAGTCATAACACACATCCCTATTAAAGTTTTGTAAGCTCATGACAGATTTCTACACTTCTTCCCACCTACCAGGCCTCAGGAAAGGAAGGGAGCCCCATGTGTATGGGATCTCTCTTCAAACAGGCATTAAACCAGCCATGAAAGAAATGGATAATGGAAACCCTGGAACTGCACAATATAAGAAAAAAAGTATCCAAACTCAGCAGTGGAAGTTCTGAAGCCCATCCTATGTTCAGCAGTCCTAGATCACACATTAAAATTTCTCTTCTAAGTAGAACATTCACCAAATTCATTGTCATTGCTTAGTATTCAAGGAATATGGAAAAGCCATACACACAGATGCTTGCATAAGAAACTACCTTGATTAAAGCAAACTGCTTTTCTCAGCAATTGCATGCACATACTCCCAGTTGTAATAAGCCAGGCCCTCAATTGTAACAGGGAGAAAGGGAAGGGCTACTCAGACAAACTACAAAGCAACAGCAAACTATATACTCACCTCCTTCATCGCCTCAAAGTAAGTGTGCACCTAAACAGCATTTTAAGAGGGAATGATTATGCAGAATGAGAGAAAATAACATGACAGAAGGAAAAAGGAGCAATTTATTAGCAGCAGCACAGGTTTTTTTCAGGTAAATGTATTTAAAGAAAGCATGCAAACATGAGCCAGAAGCAAATTAGTGTGTCCAGCCAAGATACCAGTCTGGAAAGCAAAGGGATCAGGAACACAAAATATGCCATAGCAAGCAACAGCTGTGCAGCTTACACACAGCCACAGAGACAACTACTCCTGAAACCGAGCATGGATATTACCTCCTGGCAGAATGGACATTAACTCCACCTAGTAGCACTGTAGTCCCAGTGCAGGTGAATGAGTGTAGCTGGGCTCTGAATGTATTACTGCTGCACAATTAGGCCTAAGTCAACTTTAACTTTATTAGAAATTCACTTGCATTAGTTGTTAGGCCTTTTTATTCGTGTTCAGGGACCAGCTACAGCAAAGTCAACGGAGAAAGGACATGGTTTTCCAATTTCCTTAATGTTTTGCACAAGGATAAAATCTCCCAAAGAAAATCAGTATTTTAGTAATATTTGCAAAGCCTACCTTGCCCAAACCAGGAGTGTCTTTCACTTTGCTGACTGCCCTCAACAAACAAGGTGGTGCAGGCGGTGGGGAAGTCTGAAGGATACTGCTGAAGCAGGTAGAGAAGAGAGGAGATTCAGGAACAGATGATGCAGAAGGCCTGTGCTTCTTCTTTTTGGAAGACAGGTTCAATTTCTGAGCAGCTCTGTGGGAAAAATGACAATAGCAAGCTAAAACAACTTTGAATTCACCAACAAGAACAAATAAAAATATTTATCAAGTTATGTAGGCTCTCAATTTTGACTTCATTGATCCTGATAGTTTTATAATTCTTGTTCTTCACTCCTTAGTACTATTTTAATGCCATTGACCACAAAGTTGCTCCAAATTTAGTCTTCATTAAGTAGGGTGACAATCAGGCCTCTGTCACTATTTTATCTGTTGAAGCAATTCAGCCTGCAAGAAAGCTCCAAACCCAAACCAGTGAGCTATATGGCAATTGCTATTTTAAAATTATGAAAGATTCACACAGAATTGTGTCTCATGCATGGATCACTGATTCGAAAATGAATACTTGTGTAGAGTTAATTAGTGATAGATGCTCAGATGATTCTGCTGAGGTGTAAGAATCCTAGCACTAGCTGTTCAAAATTTTTATCAGTTCTTAAAACAAGCCAGTCTAAAAGCTGAACAAATGTTGACCAATGAAAATACTGCTGTTTGTGATGAGATGGAGACAATCATACAGACTCCAGCTGCATTAACCACTAATCAGGGGAAACAGTGAGACTGCTTTTATTACAGAATTCTCAGATAAGTGTGTGTATAAGAATTTTGTATAGAGTTTGATTGAAAGGCTAAGCTTTTCTGGAGCAGAAACATTCAGTACTTTTGTTTTGCAAAATGTTCTGTTTTCAGAGATAATGCAACATTCAAGTCTTTGTTGCAGCTGGTTTGTCCCAACACTTGTGCATCCTGCACTGCCAGGGATAACATCAATATTAATCATGCTGTCCCACGGTTTCCCTTCTGCAAAACAGAGCAGTTTAAATGGAGCAGGTCAGCAGGACTACCAACTCAAAGGAGAGATGGATAGAAAAATTGTGTTTGCTTTGGCAGACAAATTGGGACTTAATATATGTAAAAAAGCAATCTGTGCTGACAGTAGCTCTCCTTACCTTGCTGAAGTGCATCACTCAAGACCAATAATTCTAAATCCTTCCAAGTTTTAAGAAGCTTTAGCTCCATTATACTGGTAGCAGTTTATATTATACAACTCAAAATTTACAAAAGTAATGACATCATTTTACCCAAAGGAGTCAGGGAAGAAAGACTGAATATATACACACATGTACATACACACACATTCCAGTATGCAAGGAACCTGTGTTTGTATCAGGTACCTCAGCCGCATGGACAAAATACTGCTTGGATGACATTGCCATATGGCAGCTGGTCACAAGTACTCTATGTGCAGCACCAGGGTGTGTTCTTTTAGCCTATGCCAAGTGCAAAGCACTTCCAGATAAATTCATTTCCAATGAAAGAAAAACATTAGGAGATTTTAAATGACCTGAAACAGAATTAGAACTCAGAAGTTTCTGTACCACCTCCTTGTCCTCTCTTTACTTTTACCTAAAGACTGCAGTTCATAACCAGTTCTTCTCATTTAAGCATACACTTTCTTTTTCATAGCAAACATACTCAAAATGTGTTGGTCAAAGCCATTTTTTCATTTCCTTGCAACATTTCCATGGTTTGAGAGGATTCAATTATTTCAGCTTCCACACTGTCCATCACTAACTTTATGAATTGTCCATGCTGAATTAAGATTGTCTGTACGTCATAGTTTCACTATAAAATTATTTTAAGGGAAGTCTTATACTCTATGTGCAACAACTGAAAATGTAAATATTGGTCAAACATACTGAAAGCTTTACCCCCGTGGTCAAGCTCATTAGTCCAGTCTGAAAGGACTGTGGCTCCATCCACTATGGTCATCTATCTGGTCTCACTGACTCATTTTCACCATGAACCTGGTGAAAATATATTTCCTAAAAGCTGATTCCTGAATTGACTGACAGAGCCATTATCCCTCTTGGCACTAAATGCTCCTCCAGAATTTGCTGTTCCTTTTACAAAGCTGACAGTGTAATACAAAGCACTTCTTGACCCAACCAAGCACACAGCTGACTTTTTCTTAAAGAGAACACATTCTTGGGGGTACCTGGCCTTTTCAAAATCTTGGAACTATATTAAAGTTTGACAGTTATAACCTATGAGATGGTATACAAATGGAATAACCTGCATTTTCCTTATATTTTTGGCCTGTGATTGGCAAAATGTATGAAAAACAATGAAATACTTTATGGGGTTGTCTGGTTTTCCCCCGTGTAGGAGAAATCAATGCATGGCAGGCTACAGAATCACTTACAAGCCCTATCAGACTGGACTGAATTTTGAAGGGGATCAAAAAGGCAATAAGCATCAGGTAATTCCCAGAGCATTTAAGTGGGAAGAGGATAGCTGAACTATACACCGGCTGCAATATGACACAAATACCTAGAGTGTGGCTTTCTTGTGAGTACACTTGTGTGAGCAAAATCCTTCAGCCTGAGTGGCTAGCATTGCTCCAAACACAGCTGTTCAAGCCAGCTGATACTGATTTGGCCCTGTGATCTAGCACAGGTTAGAAATTCATATGTTTGACCTTTCCAGGCAAGTCAGAGTCCTGGCTCTCTCATGGATCACCAGACTCCTCAGGCAAAGCACCACTCTGCACTGAGGGCAGTGAAGCTCACAGCCTGCATAGCTTCTCCAGCAGCTGTTTAGGCTCTGCTCTTTGTACAGGAGCCAGCTATTTTATTTTTTTCATTTAATATCTAGTATAATAGGGCTCTGATTTCCACTTGAGACTGCATACTGCTGCAGTAGTGGTGATGGCAGTGATGGCAGCATGGCTTTATGTACTGACAATAAGCTGATCATACTCCAGGTTATATTAGCTCCCACTTGAGCCAAGTGATATCAGCTATGGAATATGCAGGGGTGTGCAGGGGGCTCCAGTGCATTGCAAACCACTTCCCCACTGTGTGTGGTATGGCTGTGGTAGGGATTGTGTCCACAGAGACACACAAGGAACTTGATCCAAATTCAATTTTCAAAGAGCATAATTTAAACTGCATTAGACCACTGTGTGAACATACTCATTCACAGCAGAACTGTCTCTAATGTCATTTTACTGAATTACCTTCCAAAAGAATGCATATTTAATCCAGTTTAGCTAATATACTTTGGATTAACGCCTTCAGATAATTTGGACTATTTCTTTCCTGAGAGTCCTGATGCAAACAAGCATCTGGAGACTTTTTGAAGGCTTACAATATTTCTGGCAGAGGAAATAATCACAAGATCAGGAGTTAAAATTACAGGAGGGACATTAGAAAGCTGATTAAAGTTCAGCCCAAATAAAACTAATACATAGCCCTGGCAGGAAAGGGGAATTGCTTTGAAAGTCCACCTGATCCATAGCAAAGACTGAGATAATTTTTTGAAAGGACTTACTCAGCTTTTTTTTTTTAAAATAAAACTTTAAATATGTATATCTTTGGGCAGTCAGAATAGTTTTCGCACTCCACCTATGCAGAAATGGTGATTTATTTTTTTTTCCCCTTAAAACTTTACAAGCAGGTTGGGATTTTCAAACACAGGCTTCTAAATTAATGCTAATAAAATTCACGGGAAACTTGTTTAGGTTGATAAAAGAATTTTTTTTTATTTCAGCAACACCTCATCCAAGACAAAGTTAAAACTTTAGGACTGTCAAAGTAGAGGTCAGTAGGCCCACTGGGTTCATTAGATCCAGAAGAAGGTGGAACATTAAGTGGATACTTAGAATATTATTCACAGTTGTGTCAGCAAAGATCATTGATAAGTAACACTGACTGACACACTCCATCACCAGTGACATCTGAAGAGATTTCCTTAGGTGTATATCTCTGCATAATTATTCCCTACTGAATGTTCATACTACACTAAGATGCATTCAGTACTTATTACCAAAAAAAAAAAAATCCATCATAGAGGCTACCGAGCTGGCATATCAGTTTCTCTGCCAAAATAGGAACTGAAATTTCATTTGCATATCCTATTTTCCACAGAGGAAATTACTCACAAGCTGTGGATGCTGAACAGCCATGTATTAACTACCTTTATTGTAAATATTTACAATTCTAATTTGAACTAAAAACCTATTTTTCTTCTTTATTTGGAGATATACATTCCATTCTATAATAAAACTATTCTTGGCTGGGTACACCATTCAAGGACTAAGGGATGAACTTTATCTGTGCAAGGGATGGCTTACCAGAACCTTGATTTGGCACTTGATTTGACACTTTGACCACTCGATTTGACAAGCCCAAAGCAGGTTAATGACCTTCCCTAGCAATTAAAACACCACCTTTACTTACCCAAAACCTCCTTGCTGCTGTATCTTAATGTACATTGGAAAATAGATGGAAGTTTAGTTTGGAAATCAATCTTCTGAGCAAACTCTCTAAGCATATTTGTGCAGCTGTATCACCCAGTTATAAAATAGATCTTTATGTCTGTGATCAGCAGTGTTGGTTGCCCAGCATGAAACATTCATATCCTATGGTCTCAGGTTGAACCCCTATAAGCAAAAGACATTATTATCCAGCTACACCCTCAAAGCAACAGCTGTATTTATGTTCTCTTTTTTCTTTCCTTTTTTTAACCCAAGATATAATTCTTTCTGCAGAAAAAAGCAGAAGTTTTTGCCTGTCACCTACAAAGTAAAATGTAATCACTGTAGTATTTTGATTAACTGACTGTGCTGGTTTCTTTGCTGTGGTAGAGGTAATTTTCTTCCTGGTGGCTGGTGTGGGGCTGTGTATTGGGTTTGTACCAAACACAGGGTTGATAATACAGAGATGTTTTTGTTTTTGCTGAGCAGGGCTTACACAGAGCCAAGGGCTTTGCTGCTTTTCCTACAGCCACACTGGTGAGGAGGCTGGGGGTGCATGAGAGGCTGGGAGGAGACACAGCTGGGACAGGTGATACAAACTGACCAAAGGGATATTCCAAACGGAATGACTTCATGCTCAGGATATAAAGTGGGGGAAGAAGAAGGAAGGGGTGGAATGTTCAGAATGTTTGTGTTTGTCTCACAAAGTGACCATA